CCCTACCTCTTGATCCCTAAGAAGACAGGGAGAGAAGCCAACAGAATAGAATCCCAGAACCACATCCATCCTAAGCCCAGGATCAATCAATTCACAAACGGAAACGGACCTAAACACAAGCTGAAACTGGCCCAAGGTCACACATCAAGCACTTTCAGGATAAAACCCAGTTGTATCCACTTCAGTCCCAAATGTGGGGTTGATTCCCAGAGATGCGCAAGGAACATAAGGCATCTCTTTAGACCCCCCCACCCCATGCGCTCCCCCAGGCTTATGCCCTGCCTCAGGCCTCAAGCGCCATGGAGCAGAAGGAGGCGTCTCCAGGCCTTTAGCCAGAGCCAGCTGCAAACCGCATCCTGGGTCCCCAGGCAGCACGGACCCGCCCCGCCCCTCCCTCGGCTCCCCGCAGGCCCAAGCCTTTGTCAGCCACGCGCTTACAAGCTCACACACACACACACTCATATCTGCGCCGCCACGCGCGCACACACTCGGACTGCCTGGCGCACACCCGCAAGGGGCGCACACACTGGCCGCACGCATGCCGGGGGTGGGGGTGGCGGCGGCCGAGGAAGGAAGGAACAGACGGGCGGTGCACGCACAGACGGCCTGAGCTAAGGGAAAAGGAGGAGAGGCCCGGGAACCTAAGGCTGCGGAGGGAGGGGGCACACAGGCGAGAAGGTAAGAGGGACGCAGAGGACAACGGATGGGCCGTTAAGGGCCGGCGAGAACTCACTGGCTGCTCCAGGGGTGGGAACTCCTCCAACCCCTGGCACGGGGAGCATGGGGTGCACTAGATTGGACCCGTTGAGCACGAGAGCATCTTTTGAACATAGATAGGGTCCTTAGGGACTCTCCAGAGGGCTTGGATCTAGGAGGCTGGCAATCAAAAGCTCCCTAGGGCATCTGGGGTGGAGAGGCCCTAGTCCTCTGGCTGGACGGGGCACTTGCTCACCTGCCACGGTGTACCTGTCCAGATAGTTGAGCACGTTACCCAAGCTCAGGATGGCAGCGGCTGCCCCCCGCCCTCGGCCCAGGCTGGCGGGTTTGGGCTGCGGCGCACCGGGGCCCTTGGCAGCGGCTGCGCAGCCCGGGGTGCTGGGGATGCTGGGGAGTCCGGACGGGACCCGCCTCACGCTGCCGGACAACGTCTGCACCTCTTCGTCGGCGGACACGACTCCAGAGCCCCCCGCGCCCCGCGTCCCGCAGCAAGCGCTACTGCCAGTCCCTGGCTGCGCCCCCCGGCGCCGGCGCCTCCGCTCGGCGTCCGCCTCCTCCTCCTCCGCGCCGCCCGCCGCCGCCGAGGCGCATTCCAGGCACATCATGCCGGCCGGGGCCGGGGCGGCGGGGGGCGCGGGGGGCGCGGGGGAAGCGAGGCCCAGCCCGGGCCCGCTCAGTGCGTGCACGCGCCGCGGAGCCGCCGCTGCACCATCCCGGCCCGGCCCGTCGGCTTCTGCGCTCGGGCTCCAGCCCCGGCTGCGGCGCTGCTACTGTTCAGTCAGACGCGCGGCCGCGGCAGCTCTGACAGCTGCGGCCGGCCCCGCCCACCAGGCTCGTGTCCAATCACCTCCGGGCCCGGGCCACAGCCCCGCCCCGCACGTGCTGCCCCGGGGGGTGCGGGGGAGCCTGGCCATAGAGCCCCACCCGCCTGACGGGGGCGCAAGTCACGCAGGAGCGGTGCGGCCGCGGAACCTGCGGGGATCAGGAGGGGATTGCGGGCAACTGCAGCACTGATCAGGATTTAGGTGAAGGAAGTCGGTTGCCCCAGACCCTACTCAACTTCCACCTGTCCGTGCGGTGGGAGAGGACCCCTGGCTGTGGCTGAGGGAGGCCCACAGCACGAACTACGCATTTCATTTGAAGAAAAAGGTCTTAGATGGTGGAAACAGGGGCACCTGTTGGAGAGCTTGTGACGCTTCAATAGTTACCTTGATTCAGTTAGGGCTGCCTAAGAAACATAACTGGTGGACCCAAGAGGCAGACCTCAAAAGGTGCATTGCTGTCCTCTCCAGTGAAGCATCTCCAGGCCACGACCTACCCTGGACCCACTCTTGTGTGTACACCCTGACCGTATCCCTACCTCCAAAGTGAAGCTCGTGAGAGCCAGGACTTGGATTAGAAAATCAGGAGAGCCTCCCCAAAGCCAGGCATGGTGCCCCACACCTGTAACCCCAGCATTCGGGATCCTGAGTCTAACATACCAGGGGGAGGAGAAGAGATGGAGCAGGAAAAGCCTCCTACCCGAGGGTACCATCTCTCCAAAGCCTTTAGTGGAAGTTGGAAGGCTGGATCCTAGCCCAAATCTGCTCTGCTGTATGGCTTAATTCTGGACAAGACCTCTACTGTCTTTCTGGGTCTCTGTTTCTAACTGGGGGAAGGTGGCAAGGTGACAGTCAGACAACCTAGAGACTGGGTTGGGAGTGGGGGTTCTGTCCACACTGGAGGATAACTGAGAGCTTCTGTGTACAGAACACCCTCACCACTCTGACCCAGATGGGACTGGGTCTGACAAGCTCCCCTGAAACTCTCCCATTCATCTCTTTGAGTTTTTAATTAAAAACAAAATCTGTGCCAGGCAGTGGTGGTGCACGCCTTTAATCCCAGCACTCGGGAGGCAGAGGTAGGCAGATCTCTGTGAGTTCGAGGCCAGCCTGGTCTAGATGAGCTAGCTCCAGGTCAGGAACCAAAAAAGCTATGGAGAAACGGAGAAACCCTGTCTAAAAAATAAAAAAAAATCTGTACTGTCCATGTACTTTTATAATTCCATCATTTGGGAGGCGGAGGCAGGTGGATCTCTGTGAGTTTAAGTCCAACTCCAGGGTTCCAGACCATTGAGTCCAGGCCAACAGGTCTCTGAATAAATAAATATTTAAAAAGAAAGAAATTAAAACCCAGCATATCATATTCTTTTTAGTATGTGCTAACCTCTTGGTTCAAATGAGAGAGAAAGGCAGAGAAAGAGAGAGTGAGGGAGAGAGAGAATGAGTAAGAATTAATTCAGACCCTTGGAAATCTAGTGGTTTCTGTCTGTGATTCCAGGTCACCGAAGTGACCCATCATAAACAGACACCTAGTCATGGTCTGGTTGGTACTTATCCAAGGCTCTGAAATCATCATCTAGGCTGGGAGCTTCCACGCTATTGCAGGCTGCTTCAGAGCCCACGTCCACAACAGGAACATTTTGTGAAGGTGTCGGCCACAGTGAGTCATGGCATAGCCAATGGATGACAAAGCATGAGGCGCACGCGCACGGACACACACACACACACACACACACACGCGCGCGCGCGCACACACACACACTCCACTGTCTCAGCGAGCAAAGTTAATCCCCAAGCTGGTGTTTCTTGGCGCCTTCAAGGTGTCTTTTCAGTTCTGTGAAGTGACTAAATTATGCTTCACTGTGTTGAGTATGAATGGCTGTGACGGGAAGGTTCGGAAAACAGATTTCATTCGGAGAGTTGCCTGCTGCCTCTTTCCTGCTGTCTGAATTCGGGCCCGAAAAGTCAGTCAGGGGGAATTTCACTGGGTGGCCGGGGATGACAGGTGATTAGCAGACAAGCACAGACCTAAAAGCTCCATGGGGCTAGACTGGGATTCCCACAATGATCCCTAGAACTGCGGGACGGTGCTAGCTAAAGGGCAGTGTCTGCTGTGGAAGCTGAGGAGCTACGGACCTGTGAAGGAGATTCAACCATGGCTTTGCACTCTATCATACCGCGTTTCCCACCCTTTCATAGCCCTACCCAGGGAGGCAAGTTTTGGTCTTTGGTTCATTGCCCTTTTTCCCAACCCCTGGTTGAATTCTAGAGCAGGGAAGGAGGGTGGACTTTAAGTCCTTCATATTTAGAGCAGAGGGAAAAACTTGTTTGCCACCAAGCAAGCCATTTATTCTACTATGATGCTCCAAACTTAAAGGCAGTTTCTGGGGTTAATCCTGTATAAGATAAGGGTTCCTGTCTATGGACAGGGTGACAGAAACAACAATGTCCTTTCTGGCTGCGTGGTTGTGAGTAGATGAGGGCTTTGTGAGAACTCCTGGCTGGCAGCATCCTAGGACCATAGGTCGGGGGCCTGCGGGGTATTGTTTGTTTGTGGCAGAAGCAGGGGTATTGAGATGGGGTCGTTGCTGTCCTGGTATTCACTATGTAAACCAGGCTGGCCTCAAACTCACAGAGGTCTGCCTGTTTCTGCCTCCCAAGTGCTGGATTAAAGCTATGAGCCACCATGTCCATCAGACCTGTGTGTTATCAGTTCTATCCCTGTGGCGAGGAAACTAGGAAAGAAGCAATCCATCCAAGGTATGACTACCTCCTAAGTCAGTACTTTCTGGTTCCCCACACTCTACCCACAGCTTCTGCAAGACTTTTCTTCTGGGCACGACGGGAATCTGAATTCAGCAATGGCTCCAGGACCTTCTGGTGTCCATTCATGAGGTCTAGACTGTAACTACCACACATGAGAGAGCACACACCTTTAATCCCAGAACCTGGGAAACTGAGTCTGAGGCTCACAAGTTCTAGGCCAGTGTGATCTACTTAGTGAGAGCTTGTCTCAACAAATTCTGAAACAAGTGAGGCACAGAACATTAGTGTGCTTTCTCTGAGGATAACTGTATTTGAGAAGTGGTGGGGGAAACGGAGATATTTCCTTGTTGAGCAACCTCTTAGATCCTTTGCTATGGGTGTGATGTGACTTACCACAGACTCCGGTCATTTTGGAAGAAACTGCCCCCACTAGGTTCGTATGCAGGTAAGCCTGTGGTGCATTTTCTTGATTAATAACTGATGTGGGGGAGCCCAGTCCACTATGGGTGGTGCCATCCCTGATCAGGTGGTCCTGGTTGCTATTAGAAAGCCAACTGACCAAACCGTAAAGAACAAACCAGTAAGAAGTGTTCCCCCATGGTCCTTGAGTTCCTGCCTTCAGGTTCCTGCCTTGAGTTCCTGCCCTGACTTCTTTCAATGATGGACTGCAGTGTTGTCTTTGGCCATGATTTTTTTTTTAACCACAGTAATAGAAACTCAAACCAAGACAATGAGTCTCCCAGAACTCCCGTTTTTCCACAGAACACTTTGTATGACTGTGACTCTACAGACCATTCTGCGAGAACGTACAATGAGCTCCAGCAAGGCTGATGAACCAGATGGAGGTCAGTCCCTCTCACTTCTGCTGTGCCTATGTGGTAGCATTTTTCTGGATCAGGCTGTGGTAGCTTCTCGTCACTTGGCACACTCTTTGAGCAGCCTTCACTTACACATGGGCTCTCAGCAATCATGCATTTGTTTACAATACCCTGACCTCCACCTCTAGACAGTCCCTATGGCCAAGTTTTAATTTCACATAAATCTCCCACACATCCTCCTAGCAATCCCACAAACACCTTAAGCTCAGCATATCCCGAATGGAACTCACCATCATTCCCTCAAACCTGCTTCTTACCATAGCATCATAACTCCTGGCCCACAATGACACCAAGGAGAAACCCTACAGGCCATTTGTTTTTAGCTATAGCCTGTTGTGTCTCACTTTCAATGTTCCCCGCTGCCCACTGATATACCTCAGATATCTTACTTGGACTCCCTGATCCCAACTCCACCTCCAGGCTTTCCCACCCAGTTATTGATAATAAGTTTTCAAACCATACCCATGACCTGATCACTGCCTGGAACAAAACCTCTCCATAGATCTCTCTGTGGCTTCACAACCCTTCCTGACCCATGTGTTCTGACTTCAGAGCCTCCTACATATCTCCAGCACACTGTCTCAAGGTAAAGGATCTTAGAAGTCCTTTCGATGACATGGAACTCCCAGGATTGACACCCAGATACTTCCTGGAGCCTGGGCAAGTGGCAAAAATTAGCTCATTTGTTTGTAGTCCCTATCTGCCCTCTGCCAGAAAACCCTGCTAAAGGAACGATGGTTCAGGACCACGGAGAGCGCCACATGCTCACGCCCCCACCTCCCCCGACCCTTTAGTTGGGCTCTGCCTACAGGGCCTTCCAGGCTAGCTTCTATAGCTGTCCTTCACAAGTCCAGTACAGGCTTGACTTCCTCATGGAAGCCTTCCCTGACCCACCTGGGTGACCAATCATTTCCTCCTCGGGGCTATTTTGTAACATGTATATTCCTCCATCACACCAAACTCATTATTCTGATTATGTTTGTTTGATTCCACCACCACTCCACCCCCAAAAGAGATGAGCCTCAAGGGCTCATGCCCTGTCTGATTCATCTTCACCATCCATTGCAGAGGAGGTGCTTAGAGAATGTTTGTTGATTGAATGAGCAAATGACATTTAGCAGGTGCAGGAAATATGTGTTGATTTGCATTGTATATCTGTTGCTCTGGGTGACTCAGAAACCAGCCAGATTTCAATCCTGCCGCCTGTGGAGAAGCCATTTTTCTCCCTAATGACACCTCCCTCCATCCTTGGAGCAGCTTTCCTGCAGGTCACCACCCTAGCTGGGGAGAAGGCACCCCCACTCTGCTCCTGCTATTGCCACACCAGAGACTCACTGGAGTCTCCCCACCCCCCATTTTGGGGCCTGCCACGTGAGTTTTTCTCTGAACATGTCATCTCTGCCTCTCTCCTGCTCAGAACAGATGGCTCTGAATCCCTGCTCATACAGAAGTTCGTGTTCCATCATTTGAACATTTTTTTTCTCAAGATAGGGTTTCTCTGTGTTGCCTTGGCTATCCTGGAACTCACTCTATAGACTGAGCTGGCTCTACTTAGACCTCTACCTGCCTCTGGCTGCCAAGTGCTGGAATAAAGGCATCGCTATACATGACTCATTTGGACATTTTTAACACTTTCTATATTATAGATGTTTCAGTTACCTTTGACCATGGCCTGAGACCATCAAAAACAAAGTCTCTGGAAGGACATTGAGTGGAGGCTCTTCCTCACCCTGTGGAGAGGCCAGTGACCTGCCCCAAATCATCGCAGTAGATGCTGTCACTTTTTTGAGGAAGGGGAGGAGCCTTTTAAAATTTTTTATTGTTTTGGTGTTGGAAATCAAACTTGGGGCCAGCTAAGAAAGCACCATCACTGAGCCACGCCCCCGGCCATTTGGTTTTGATGATCGGAATTAATTCATTCCTCTTCCTAGCAGCTTTCCTGGCTTCCTGGTCTTAATGGAGCTATGAATCAAGACACAGGCAGAGGATCCAAGCTAACCCAACTGAACTTTTATGCCTAGGGCATTAAATCTTGAGTAAGTAGGAAAAGAGTAGGGGAAAGTGTCTGGCGCTCTGAAAAATTAAAAGATGAGGTAAAATCTCTGGCTCTTCAACCTTGCTACCAATTCCGTGAGCTCTTCCTACACTGCTGATGAATCCTTTGCCTCCTCAAGGTCATCAGTTCGGCCCAGTTACATGCAGCTCCATAACCCAAATGCTGTAGGAGCCAGTGCAAACCCATCCTCTTGGCAATGGGGTAAATCATGGCTTCAACAAGTACCGGCACTTCTTGTTGGACTCTGTGATAGAACCTTGGTGAGCTCAGCTACTTCACACACAGCTACCTCACTACCCTGACACAGCAGGAAGTCACTCACTTAGGGGTGGGACAGACAGGCCAATGGCTAGTTGCAGGGCAACAAGCCAGGTCGAGGTGCAGGAACCTAAATGCATGCTCCATCCTCCAGACTGAAAGACACGCCGCTAGAGAGCAAGCTGGCCACACGGGCACATGCATAGACATAGGCAGACACGGCTTCCTGCCAGGATGTCTCCTGGAAGCTGAGTCATTAACACGTGAAGTGAGCAGGGTCGGCTTGGGGACTTGTCTTGCTGAATAGCATTTTCGCTGCTGTTGACATTCCCAACAAACAAGTCCAGAGTGTCAATAACCAGGATTACCCAACAGCATCCTTCAGGCGATAAAGATGTATTCTGTTTACTATGCTACCCTTTGTAGTGAGGCACTGGGGGCCTCTCACAGGGCTTGCTCCTGTGTTCTCATCTGCTGGGACTAGTCCCCAACAGGGAGAGGTAGGACCCGAGGGAAGCTGGGGCCTAGCTTGACTGTAGATGAGGTGTGGCTTTGTCCTCCCAGGGTCCCTCAGTCCCCAAACTCTGGCACTCCCCAAGCTCACTTAGAAAATAATATCCTGTAAATCTCTGGCTGAGCACTGAGTCTCAGTGCATCCTGGGAACTCAAGCTTCCGAATGTACTGGAAGATGTGACCTTTCCCTGCCCGAGACTAGGGATGAGAGCTGCAGTTCTCTGCACTGAGGCCCCTAGTCCCAGCCAATCCTGCCACCTCTTCCCACCAGTGGCGAGCATGCCTCCTCTCTGGCCCCTCTACACCCTTCCATGACTCACAGTCTTTTTCCTGTCCCATTGCCTATACCCTAGTTCTCTTCCCCCTGCCTAGGGTTCCTTTCCTCCACACCTCTTGTCCTTGCCAGCCCCAAAGTCACCTCTAGAAGGTTTCTGAGCCAGGTGACCCTTTTGTCATAGGAAGTATGTCTCCCGAGGTCCAAGGGCAGACTGGAGTCTGATTTATTGCCCCACACCTCGAAGGGACCTACTGATAACCATCAGTGTTTGTAGATTTAGCACAAGCGATGTTTCTGGTCTCCCTCCCCAGCCACTGGACTCTGCCCATTGTCTGCGAAGCTGAGTTTCAAGACAGCGTGGCTGCTGGGTTCTGACCCTGGAACTAGCCTGTGGGAGTCACATGGGAGCTAGAAATCTGCATTTGGTGCGTCTCAAACAGAGCTTTGGACTCTGCAGCTGAAAGGCGGGCTGTGGCCCTGATCTTCTGTACCCTGTGTACTGAGAGCAGCGCGGTTGCCTCTTTCTCAGATAGTCAAGCTCCCACACCAGTCGGTTTCCTTGGAGTTTCGGGGTGGTTGTTTCCCTTCAATGATGATGCCGACTCAGGGAATGGGAGCTTTTGTCCTGGAGATGCCTGCTCCTGAGGAGAGCTAAACCCGGGAGCATGTGTAGGCTGAGCTAGTGAACCTAGCTCCAGGAGCCTGTCACAGCTAACTAGGAACAAGGAGAAGCCTGAGGAGGCAGGATAAGAATGAATGTAAGGGCAAGGAACAGTGCTGAATGCTGGGCCACTGCTCTGCCCACAGATGCTGGGAGGCAGGCACAGCCTGGCACAGCAGAGGTGGCAATGAGTGAGTGAATGATTGCCTGGCTGGGCTCCGGGGGAGGGGACAGAAGCTGGGGTCATAGGCGGAAAGAACAAGCCTCCCTGCTGCTGCCCGCCTGGAAGCTGTTGATCTCCTGCAGGGCCCGCTGAGCCCAGCTGCTCAGAACCCAGTGCCAAGCATGGGTCCCACAGAGCCAGCCCTCCCCATGGAGATGCTGGGGTCAAAGATAGGCTGGAGAGAAGGAGGGCTACTTCCAGGAGTATGTGTGAACAGTCATGTGAGCTTCTCTGCATGTAGCTCAGAGGCAGCTGCTTCTGTAATTTGCACAGGCTTGAGTGGGGTCACATCCCCATACCAGCAGGCACAGGGAACCTAACTCCAAGACCACCTCCTGTTCAGAAGATGAATGCTCACAGAGAGGTACCTCTGTCCCCCCTAGCCTTTGCAAACAGGAGAATCTGAGTCAGAGTGAGGTACTCATGGTGGAGACACCCAAACAACAAAGCTGAGCAACTTCCTCGGGGTCCCTATTGTAAAGGCCACCGTGAATCCTTGGCCTGGCCTGCCCACTGCCCGCCCCTCTTCCTGCAGAGGCTTCACGAGGCTATAAATAACAAGATGGGTCTAAGAAGCCCTGAAATCCCAGGGCTTTGCACTGGTCACGCTTTAATAAGGGCCCAGCCTCCCTGAAGGGTAGTGACAACTCAATTGAGCCAGCTCCTGGGCCCTGGCAGTTCTCTAGCAGGGACTGAACAAGTGGCAAGTGTAGCTTAGCCGGGGTCCCTGAATCATAGCCAAGATGGGTGGAGCCACTAGGAGGATGTGGGTAGGATAAAGCCTGCTCACTGCAAGATGGACTCAGGAATGCTCTGCTGGGGTGCTGGTGCTGGAGAGCAGGCCTTGACTCTCAGGGTTCCTGCTGACTATGTCTTCGCTGTCCAGAGTTCCTGTGGGAGACAGAAGATGATCAGCCAGCCCAAAGGAGGCGGGACCTTTGAGACTAGGCCTGGGAACAATTTATTGCAAATTCTTGAGGATCTATTTGCATAAGAAACCCCAAATCAGACCCCTTCACTGCCATCCCTGTGTCACTGCCACCCCATGGGCTTAGTTCCTCCCAGCACAGTACAGAGTTCTGTGACCTCTCTGCCCCAATCTGGCACTCTGAATTCTGTTCTCAATACAGGAGGCCTGGGGTTGCCCTTGGAACCCCACCTCTGCAAACCCCACAGGGACTCCCATCTCCCTCTCAGTGAAGGTCACAGTCCTTTGAAGGATTCCTTCGGTGCTCTGCCTCTCTTGCTGCCTCACTGTCCCCATCGCTCCTGCTACAGTTGCCCTGGCCACCTTGTCAGTCCTCAGCACCTCAAGCACATTCCCACCACAGGACCTTTGCTCTAGCTGCCCTCGCCTCCCGGAGCCCCTCCCAACAGATAGCTGCCTGGCTCATGTCCCTTTTTCCTCTTTGCTCTTTCACTCCAATGTCACCTGTACTCCACCACCTGTCCTTGCCAATCCCTTTCCCTGTCCGTTGTCTCTATGGCACTTACAGCAAACATTTCTCTCTCAGTTTTTCCATTTCTGGCCTGTCTCTTGCCACTAGAGCATTAGCTCCGTGAGGGCTCAGACTTGGCCTAATTCTGTCTCTCTCCGGCATCTGCTACCTTGCTTGGCACATGGCAGGGACGTAATAAATTATCTGGAATGAGCTGTCCAGAAGCATAGGTAGTTGCCAGTGCTCCGAGTCCAGAAGGGCACGAAGAGTGGGAGTACCTTTGCCAGCCTGCCTGGCCTGGGCCTGGTCTCTTTCCAGGTGCAGTGCAGTCAGGAGGAAGCAGCCACCACCCAGCACGATGGCAAAGGCGCAGCACAGGAAACTGTGTTGCAGACTGAGGAAGCGCTGCAGATAGGAGTTTGGGCGCCCAGTCTGCAGGACGCTGGAGATCTGCCAAGAGGAGAGGTAATTTGCGAGCCCCCCCCAAGGTGGCCCCAGGACCTTATCACGAACAGCACCTCCCCAAGTTCCTCCCCCCACCACACACACACACAGACACTCCTTACAAGTCCAGTGAGGTAGGGACTGCCAGCGTCTCCCAGGATGTGGGCCACTGTAATCTGGAGCGCCTCTGCCGTGCCCCTGCACCTAGGCACCACTACCGACTGCAAAACACAGGAGCCCCAGAGGTAAGCAAGGAAAGAAAGAGCACCCTTCACCCCATCCTTCTGTTCCCAGATTCCCAGAGAGTGGCAGGCCAGACAGGTCAGAGGATGGATGGGAAGGATCACTGACTTCCAAGACTCAGGCTCCTGGGGGCCCTGGGAGGCCTCCTCAGGACAGGGATAGTAGGGGCAACGAGCATAGCACTGGACAGAGACACAGAGTTTATCCTTGAGCTGGGCCTGTCTGGCTGTGACCACACTGGTAGGGCAGTATCTCAGCTCGGAGCTCCAGACATCAGTGCAGGCAGGTGCGACCAGTGTGGGGCAGTGGTGCCAGGGAGGCTCACACAGCTCCATGCGAGAAGGTAAGGACGTCAAGAATGTGACTTCTGGAGTCAGACAGTCTGGGGTCCACTCCCAGTCCCTACCCATTAGCTGTGCGTCTTCGAGCAAGTCACTTCGGCTTTTCCTGTCTCCTCTCTAAATGGGATAATGATAGTACCCACCTTGAGAGCTATGCTTAGTGTCATTCAGCTGAGATTCAGAAGCTCACAAGAACATCTGTCCTGCTGGCGGAATGTGTGCCTTCTGCCTGGCAGGCCTTCCCTCACTGGACATACTTGGGAAGCACTATTTATCACTTAGGACTTACCCTTATTCACCTCCTCTGTGAAGCCTTCTCAGCTTTGAGGGCCTGACTTCTCTCTCTCTCTCTCTCTCTCTCTCTCTCTCTCTCTCTCTCTCTCACACACACACACACACACACACACACACACCCCACAGTTAAATGAGTGTGTGCTCCCTGGAACTAGGAAGGGTCCCTTCTTGGGCCATTTCTTTATCTCTCATACTGTATTCATAGCAAAGCTCCTAATTTCTCCTGTGTCCCTGGAGTACCACAATACACAAGGATTAGGGGGACCTAGCGAAAATCTGCTAGCCAAGTAAGAGAAATAGAACTTTCTAGAAGCCTGGTCTCAGGAGAAATCCTGCCAGTTAAGAGGTACTCCACACTATGACAGCCACAGAGGAGAATGCTGGTCTGGAGTCTTGTCCCCAGGACCTCAGTGTCTATTATCTGAAAATAATAATAATAACAACAACAACAGTTAGCATTTAATAACTGCTTCCTGCATATGTTTATATATATATATCAGTCCCAACAAGCCATGAAGGTGATATGATTGTTTCCTGCATTTTATAGATGGGAAAGCTTTCACAGAGCAGGTAATTAAATTATCCGGAGCAGCCCAGCCAGGAAATAATGGGCCCAGACTGGATGGCAGGCCGTCCTGTCCAGGGACTGGTCTCCTGACCCTCTGCTGTTAGGGGTGGGGAAAGCTGGCAATTTCAGCCATGTTAATGTGGTCATTACACAGCATTTAAAAGGTGGACGGTTAGACTAAAAACACAGAAGCAGGCCATGGCAGCTCACACCTTTAATTCCAACACTCAGGAGGCACAGGTAGGTGGATCTCTATGAGCTGGAGGCCAGCCTGGTCTACACAGAGTTCCAGCCTAACCAGGGCTATATAGTTTCAAAAATAATTAAGAAGACAGTGTCCTTAGTGTTCTTGCCTATGGGCAGGAGAATCAGCGTGCAACAGAGAGGGGTCAAAGAAACGTTGGAAGGTAGGAACCCAAAATACGATTTTGGATTCCAGAACCCCAGCAGACAGACACAAGAGGTCTGCTGGAAAGGAGCTTGTGGGTGGGCAGGGCTGAGGTGGGAGTCACTGTGGGCAGTCAGATGGTATGAGGTCACTGGGGCCAAGTTTTTCTCCCCAGGTGGTTAGAGAAGCTGGGCCTTTTGCCTTCTCCAGGATCTGCCCGCACTGGAGGAGGAACTGACCATAGCTCCGTACCTTCCCAGGACTTCCTTCTCACCCCATAATTATGTGATTAGTCACTGGTAGCTCTGGAGAGCTGGTTAAGCTTCCTAAACAGGGGCCTCAAGTCCTCACACAGGTTCATGTGGGGCTGGGGCTGCTCAGACCCTCGGAGTAAGGTCCCTACAAGTTCCTTATCTTCTCAGCATAGGGAGACATGGGTCCCACATCCTTGCTTCTTCTGGATGTCCTTGGTTCTCTAAAGGCCACGCCCAGCAGCCTCTGTCAAGCTGGGGGGTGAGCAATTTTGAAAATGAGTGGCTTTGGGGTTTCCAGCATTCCAGGTTCACCAGCTTCAGAGACAGAAACACCTGTGTTTTGGCTCGCCCTTAGAAAAGCAGTTCCCTTTATAGCCCAGGGCAAGAGTGGTGCGGGCGGCCACCGCCTGGCAGAAAGCTGGAGGGACAATCACTAAGGACAGATTCCCTGGCAGCCTGCCATCTGCCCTCCCCAACTCAGCCCTGTGACCAGACACTTGTGAAGGGTGACACAGTCACTTCTCAAGCATCCTTCTCCTCACCGTTGGGAGGAAGGGTGAGCCACTGAGGACCAGGCTGAGTGGGGCAGCTGCAAGTAAAGCAGATTTAGAGACACTTTCTTGGTCTTTCCGGGAGAAAAGATCATCTAAGACACAGCCAACCCAGGAGAGGGTACATAGGGAGGGTGTAGGATTGGGCTCCCCTGAGGCTGGGTAAACTCAAACAGATAATGAGAAATTTGCAAGGAACATGCAGGCTGAAGAGATGACTATGCAAACCAGCAGTTGTGGGTCAGGCTTCTGAGGGAAGTCTGCTGGCAATGCAATTCCTGGACCCACTCTCTACCCACCCGATCAGGTGCTGAGGCCCAGGATCAGTGACAAGCTCCTCCAAGCTTGTCTCTGGCAGAATGAAGTGTGAGAGCCATTGGAGCAGGCAGCCCTTGGGGCCTCTCATCTAAAAGGAGCCTGGATTCTCCTTGGGGAGAGAGCAGTGTCCTAAGGCAGAATTGTTGGAGATGGTTGCCACCTCTTCAGGAACACACAGGGTACAGGTTTTAGCTCGTTGCTTCCTTACAGCCTGAGGCACAATGGATAGGAACTACTTCTCCATCTAGTATACATTTGAGCACAGATTATACATTTGAGGCACAGAGAGGTCACCTGAGTTGGCCAAGATCTCTCAGCTAGCGAGTAGCAGGGATGCGCCTGAAAAACAGAATCGCTGGAATGCTCCTGACCGAGTTCTCCTGTCCAACTTCTCCTCCCTCACCCATCCTCTGACTCCAGCCCCCCAGGAACTCACAGTCTCTCTACCCTGTTCTCCTCTTAGACCCTCTTTGTTCTCTCTCTACTGAGAACCGTCCATCTGAATATCTCCCACTACAATACTCTCAGAGCACCCAAAAGAGAAGCTTACCTTCCTACTTAGGAGCAAGAGCCCCATCCTCTATTTCCCCCATAACCTGTCCCCATATAAGTCTTTCCCCTGCCCCGCTTCCTCCAAGAGACCTCAGTCTCCACATTTGTTACCTCCCTGTCCCTTGCCACTTGGCTTTCTGCCATCTTCTGCCATGTCTGCTTATAGTGCTTGTGGTAGTTTGAATGGAATTAGAGCCCACACTAGTAGGAGGTGTGGCTTTGTTGGAGTGGGTGTGGCCTTATTGGATGAAGTGTGTCACTGTGGGAGTGGGCTTTGAGGTTTCTTATGCTCAGGACACTGCCCAATGTATCAGTCAACTTCCTGCTGCCTCCAAGATTCAGTACCATGTATGTTGTATTGCCTGCATGCTGCCACGCTCCCCATCATGCTGATAATGGACTGAACCTCTGAAACTGTAAGCAAGTACCTCCAATTAAATGTTTTATTTATGAGAGTTGTTATGGTCATGGTGTCTCTTCATAGTGGTAAAAACCCTAAGACAGTGCTCTTATAAACCTGTACCCCTCTACTGCAAGAGAGCTCCTTACAGGTGCCGAGACCATGCCCTCCTGACCCCTGTCCTGTTTTTCTGCCAGGGAGATAGAAACACAGGAGCTGAAAAGGCTGGACTCCTACCCGAACTTCTTATCTAGTACAGAAAGATCATTGCTGGCTGCTGGGTTTAGGTCAGGAGAGAGGCAGGGAAGGCAGCATGGAGCTGGCTAGAGCAGAAGCCTCCAAGCCGTAAAGGGCTCCGAGAATTAAAAGGCTGGGATGCATGTGGTCAGCCAGCTCCCCCACAATCCAGACTCTAGCCGGGCCCCAGAGCCACCATCCACCTCCTCCACAGCCATGACACACTCCTCTTTAGCACTGCCAAGCGCCCGATGCTCCCAGGTTAATGATTTTGGCAGACACAGAAAGAGATGCCCTGTAGCCTTCACATTTCTTTGGGGCTGTCGTGTGGAAAAGAGATCACAGTGGGGGGCAGGTGGAGGAAGCTGTGGGGGGCATTTTCAGCACTGCTTGAACCACCTGAGAGAGAAAGAGCTATGTAGAGGATGGGTGTTCCCTTAGGCTGTCTCATTGGCCCCACTAACAGTTAATGATTAGGCCTTTTTATAGGCAAGGAAACTGAGGCCCAAAGCCATTTGCCAGGCCTGTGGCTGAGTCTGAGCCCAGGTCTCGGTGCAGAGGGAGGAGCAGGGAAGACAGGCTAGCTTTACGGCTGATACACTCACTAGAGTCAAAAATTGGTTGAGCCTGTACTACAGCAGGCAGTGATATTCTGGCAACATAGTGTTCAAGCAGGCCTTGTCTGATTAAATGACATACACCCCCATAGTCCTTCCAAACCCAGATTCTAGGACTCCAAGACACCTTTGGGAGATGGAAGAACCGTGGAAATCTCAGGGTCACAGTGAAAAGCCTCCCCATCAATCCCTGGGCTAAACTTTCTATGAGTCATCTCCTTCCACGCTCACAACAATGGAACTACCATTCCATCCCCATTTTCATATGGGGAAACTGAAGCTCGGAGATACAAAGCAACCTGCCTAAAGTCACACACAGCTAGTGAGTTGCAGAAGCAGGACACCTTTCACCAGACAGCTTTCTACCTGTGTTTGACCACCCAGAATCCTGTGGCCAGCATGAGACTGTGCTAGTCTGCCAGAAGGCAGCAGGAGGGCATTGTGTTCTTAGACCTAGGAGCCCTGCTAGCAACCAGGTTCAAACTCTCACAATGTTCAAAGCCCTTGTGCCTCCTCAAAGGAGGCAGGGAGGCTGAAGACAGGATGTAGCTGAGGAAGGACCAGGCTGGATGGACTCAGGACACCAAAGCCATGTGGTGGGAACAGCACATGTGGTAGGTCTTACCCTAGCCCTTCGAGTGATCCATGAGGTGGGATGAGCTGAGGCCAGCAGGGTTCAGCGGCCAGTGCTCTAAGTCAAGGGTCCCTCTCTCTGACCCTAGAGTACAGGCCAAGGAGCCCATTTGCTGAGATGTGTCATGAAGAAGGAATGAAAGCCTGCTCCAGTCCTAGCTCAGAGTCTTGACAACGTGTGACCTTGGTTCAGGCACCTTGCCCTCTCTGAGTGCCCATGCTCATGTGCAGAATAGGGAGGAAACAGCTGAGAGCATCCGAAAGGGGGTACTTTGTCTATGGAAACTGTGAAGTGGCCTCAACCCCTGCCCCACGGCCTCTGACATCCTTCCCAATGCCCAGGCTACTCGAAAGTGCCAGGACCAATGTGCAGCCCATACCTACCAGCAGGATATCAGCAACCACTGCCCAGTTGCAAGACAGAAGGAGCTCCCCGAGAGCCAGGAACACCTGCAGACAGAGAATGTCTTGGATGAGACTGTGGCCCCACCTAAGGCTCCCACCCCTACCCCTTCCAAGTCTCTCCTCAACTGTGCAGAGGGGAAACTGAGGCTCCTCAGAGGAAGGCATGTGGAGACAAATGGGTGGAAGAGCAGCCCCCAGGATGGATAGACAGGCTGCCCCTGAGACCCCCAAGGTGAGCACCAGGCTACAAGTCTGATAACCTTGGCTCATGACCACCAAGACCCAGCCCTTGGGGGTCACCCATGGAACCCAGAAGGAGGAGGCAACAGGGCTACTAGAGCACTTCCAAATCTGTAGACTCAGGACAAGAAGGCCAAGGTCTCAGCTTGCCTACTCTCTTTTTTTTTCTGCTGAGGATTGCGTTCACCAGTAAGGCGTTGGGCACCTCTAGATCGGCTTCTCCCAAGCACCTTTCCGAGAAACCCCCACCCTGAGCTAGCATTAGCACAGCCATTGTGTAGACAAAGGTAATTCCTACGTAGGGTCAAGGCTCTTCTCAGGCCATAGCTGGCCCAGGGCAAAGCCAACCTGAAACGCAAGGCTTCAGGCTCCCGTCCAGTGCCTACCCCGCCTTGCTCCCAGTGTCCTCTGCTGCTGGTCCCGTCTTACCCAGCTTTCTGAATCGTGCTACCTCGTGCCAGAGGATTAAGACAATCCTCATTCCCTTCACTCAAGAAAAGCTTAATGAAGCAACCGAAGAAAGAGGAGGAAAGGCTCACTTCTCCCAGCATCAGGGAGCTGATTGCCAGAGTGGAATTAGTCATTCCTGAAGTCACGGGGTTACGTCTGAAGCAGCACAGGCTTGGGAACTCAATGGCTTGACATCTCCAAGGCAGAGAAATGAAAACCACCATCAGAAAGGACACCTGCTGTATGCCAGGGGTCACCACCGCATTACCCTTCCCTAATTCAATAATTTGATAAGGTTATCATCACACCCATGTCACAGATCAGGTACCCAGGCCACTTTACAGAGAGGCCCTCTCCTCTGTGTCTAGCTTTTATATAGTGAGTTTGGGAAGGCCTTTGACCAAAAAGAACTCCCAGGGCCCTCCAATGGCTACCATGCCTTTAAAGGCTGATAGAAGGAATCAGATGGTGACCCTGAGCAGAGATGACCCTGGCAGATACCTAGGAGCAGTCAGGATGGGCTGGAAAGAGCTGCAGGAACCCAGGAGGCAGAAGCCCTACAAACAATGTCTGGCAGATAAGCCTTGTGAGTACCAACAAGAGGCTGGAATGTGCCACCACACGGGTGGGGCAGGAGAATAACCTGATCCAGCGAAAGAAGAATAGAACAGAGAGACTAAGCGGCTCTTGTGATCTCTCCACCCAACCCGGCTGCCTGTGGCTGCTGCTTTTGGCCCTTGGTACCCAAACTGGGAGGCCCTTGAGGTCAGGGTGGGTCTCCTTCTAGGCTGAGGACAAGGTTTGAGCACCTGCAGTAGTGGGAAGCAGGAAGTCACTGGTGGGTAGGACTCGGGTGAGGCCCAGGCAGCCACAGCTCTGCATTCCATCTTGGCAGGGCCTGTCAGCCCAGATTCTGGACCACATGAAAGCCTGGCCCAGTGCACCTGCCCTCCCCGTGGTGTCCTGTAGTCAGTGAACCTCTGCCTGGGCCAGAGGCCTTGCCTCTTAGTGTACTTAGCCTGCCTGAGTCCTCCTTCCTCCATACAGGCTGGACACCACTGTTAGAGGACAAGCTCTCCTGTGTGGGATCGCTCCTACCCTCTCCACACCCACAGGACATGCTGAAATATACCTTTTCCTTCTTCCAGCTGGCCTAGGGTGGATCCTGGGCCCAAAATAGAGCCCCTTCGAGGGAGGCTGCAGCCACAATGGGGCCTTTCAGGAGGAACAAGCTGCCTAGGGTGCCAGGTTTCCTCAGACACACCTGGAAACAGGCTCCATGCCACCAAATCCATCACTCTGTTTGCGGCTTTGAGGGGCAGTGGGCCAGTGGAGAGAGCCTGCCTTCTAATCCCATAATTACAGAGACTCTTGAGGTAGTGGGAGCTTAGCCTTCTGGGCTCAAGGAGTGGCACTGTCACAAAGGGAGACCTGCTGGGAGCCCTTGGGGAGGTCCCCCACACCCACCTCTGGGCCTTTGTTTCCCTCACTGCACAGAGGTGTGGGGGAGCCTAGACAGGCACCAACACACTGCGCTTCTGGAGCTGGAAACCTAGTTACACACACTTGTGGTCCCCAGAGGCAGGGGGCAAATCCAGTCTTCAGCCACTGACTTCCATAATAGAGTCAGACTTTGCTTCAAACAAAATCCAAGCAAACAGAGTCAGCTCTGGTGGTGTATGCTTGTAACCTTCAGCATATACCTGTAACCTCAGCCATGGTACTCATACCTGTAACCTTCAGCATATACTTGTAACCTCAGCCATGGTACTCATGCCTGTAACCTTCAGCATATACTTGTAACCTCAGCCATGGTACTCATGCCTGTAACCTTCAGCATATACTTGTAACCTCAGCCATGGTACTCATGCCTGTAACCTTCAGCATATACTTGTAACCTCAGCCATGGTACTCATGCCTGTAACCTTCAGCATATACTTGTAACCTCAGCCATGGTACTCATGCCTGTAACCTTCAGCATATACTTGTAACCTCAGCCATGGTACTCATGCCTGTAACCTTCAGCATATACTTGTAACCTCAGCCATGGTACTCATGCCTGTAACCTTCAGCATATACTTGTAACCTCAGCCATGGTACTCATGCCTGTAACCTTCAGCATATACTTGTAACCTCAGCCATGGTACTCATGCCTGTAACCTTCAGCATATACTTGTAACCTCAGCCATGGTACTCATGCCTGTAACCTTCAGCATATACCTGTAACCTCAGCCATGGTACTCATGCCTGTAACCTTCAGCATATACCTGTAACCTCAGCCATGGTACTCATGCCTGTAACCTTCAGCATATACCTGTAACCTCAGCCATGGTACTCATGCCTGTAACCTTCAGCATATACCTGTAACATCAGCCATGGTACTCATGCCTGTAACCTTCAGCATATACTTGTAACCTCAGCCATGGTACTCATGCCTGTAACCTTCAGCATATACTTGTAACTTCAGCCATGGTACTCATGCCTGTAACCTTCAGTACATACCTGTAACCTCAGCCATGGTACTGCATGCCTGTAACCCCAGCACATACCTGTAACCTCAGCTATGGCAATGAATGCCTGTAACCTTCAGCACATACCTGTAACCTCAGCCATGGTACTCATGCCTGTAACCCCAGCACATACCTGTAACCTCAGCCATGGTACTCATGCCTATAACCTCAGCTATGGTAGTGAATGCCTATAACCTCAGCATGTACCTGTAACTTGCCATGGTGGCACATGTCTGTAACCTTGGCCATAGTGGTGTATGCCTGTAACCTCAGTCATGGTGGTGGATGTTTGTAACCCCGCACATTTTCCAGGCAAGACTGGGCTATGTAGTAAGATTCTGTCTTTTAAAAGAATAAAAAAGAGCTGAGTGGTGGTGCACACCTTTAATCCCAGCACACTCAGGAGGCAGAGGCAGGCAAATCTCTGTGAGTTCGAGGCCATTCTTGTCTACAAGAGCTAGTTCCAGTACAGGCCCCAAGCTACAGAGAAACCCTGTCTTGGAAAAGAAAGAACGAAAGAAAGAAAGAAAGAAAGGAAGGAAGGAAGGAAGGAAGGAAGGAAGGAAGAAAGAAAGAAGAAGAAGAAGAAAGAAGAATCAGCGAGACGTCCCCACAGGTAAACACACTTGCTATCAGTCTTAAGGATCACACAGGCTAGAGAAATGAACTCTGCGTGGTAAAAGAGTAGAAGTGATTGATATTGTGGTACACACACACACGTAATTATTTTGCATGGTAACGCATACACCATCATGAACTACAGAGTAAAAAAGCATATAAAAAAGAAAGACAGAAAGAAAGAAATAGAAAACAAACAAACACACTAAGGGCTGGCCAAGGAGGCTCAGCAGGGAAAGACACTTGCCAGCAAGCCTGACAACCCAAATTCTATCTCGAGCAGGATGCCAAGAATGGAAGGAGAGACAACCAACATCCCCAATTGTCCTCTAAGCTCCACACATGTGCCATGGCATGAGCGCGTGTGCGTGCGCGCACACACACAGAGGGGGAGAGAGCGAGAGCGAGAGAGGGGGGGGTGGGGAGAGAGAGAAAGATGAAATAAACATGCGTTTTTGTTTTTTAGTCTCCAGTTTTGAAGAATTTGGTTGTCAGTTCATCTCTCAGGTCCAAGTCCCTCTTGGTCGGTCACATACACCTCCCTTTGACATGTCCCCTAACTTGTTTCCCCTCCGTCTCTTCCCATCACTGTTCCTGCCCAGTGTGGCTAAGACAGCCAGGATGCAGGCACAGACCAGCTGCCAGCAGTTGCCAAGATGCTTCCCCTTAGGTTCAGGGAGACAGGCAAATCCTAGAGTCTGCTGACCCTGTATAACCCCTCACTCCCCATCTCAGATGCTCCTTCTCTGTGCCTCCCCATGTCCACTGCTGATGGCTTGATCCAGGCCTCTCCAGTTTCTCAGGCCTTATCATCTCCCTCAACACCCGCCCAGAGGGGACTTCCAAAGGGGAAATCTAATTCTGCCTTTGGCTCCTCCTCAAGGCCTGGTGTCTTCCTTGTGCCCTGACTTAGTTCCTGATGGGTAGGAGGGCCTGGGATCACTGCCTGGGACCTGAGAAATGGGCTGTGCTGGAGAGCCCTGACCTCTGATATTTCATCCTTGATCTGGTCAGCAACAACTGATATGTTTGACTTTAGCCATCCTAGCCTGAAGAGCTTGCACACATACTACCCATGTTCACACTGGCACTCATCCTCACACACATACCACACATGCTTGCAACAACATAAACACACACAGATTCCTGTACATACAACCACATGTATGCAAGCCCTCACACATGTTCATGTAAACTTCAATACACACACACACATAGTCAAAACCT